CAACATATACATAACACATAAAATATAATCAACAAACATCTATTCATATAATAAGTCAACAAGCTAACAAGAAACATAATTCATACAGCTCACTACCGCTTACTAGTCATCTCACAACACACTGTCCAGTTACCAACTAACCACCATGATAAAATATCCTACTCTACAGCCACAACAAAAAAGGAACAGACAAGAAAGCCTAGATCAAGAGTTCTCAGGCTATCCTACATGACTACATGCAACCCCTAGGGCACTCAACTATATGATAACCAATATACCACTGTTACAACATCCTATCATATAAGGATATATACACAGATTTAGCAGATCACTATAGCATAACAACATCCTATATACCAGGATTCAGATCTAACAAATAACCACAACCTAACAACATCCTATATACCAGGATACACAACCTAGTGGACTGACATTGGTGCCTTCGACCCACATGTATAGTGAGGAAAATTCACCTAAATCGAAGAACTCTGAAACACTGCGACACGATCCTTTTTTTTGCACTACTTGCACCCAAGAATCCACTAACACCAGAACCAGATAAAATCTTAATTAATAGCCCAAAACCCTAAAGTTTGACCCAAGGTCAAACTTGGTCAAAAAGTCAACGGTCAATGGAAGTCAACGAAAGTCAAGGTCCAAGGCTGCTGAGTAAACCCAGCATACTCAGCGTACACCCATCGTATGCAATCTGTCCTCACTCCCCCATTAATCACTTTATCCATTAAGGCCTTTTGTCTAGAGCTCAGATCTAGACTCAGGACAAAAGTTTCCACCTTTATGACTTTCCATGGCTAGAATAGGTCCAAAAGCTAAAACCCTAACGTATTAATCCATTAAGACATCATAACTCTTGCATGGAAGGGACAGAAGGACCAATATCATGTTTTTATGGTTCCTAATAACTCCATAATGGATAAAGTTTCCAACTTTATCCATTAGGATGGTCCAAACAACCAAGATCTATTCTTTAAGTTTCAAAGGGACCCAAAAGTGCATCTTTCTCAACTTAATCCCATAAGTCCAAGTGTCCAACCTTCATATCTGAATCAATATGATATTTAGATGGATAAAGTTTCCAAATTTATCCATAACAAGGTCACAAACTTTCAAGATCTAACCTTTATGCACTAAAGTAACCAAAAGCTCATAACACACAAAACTAGCTAGATACAACAAATGCATCATCAAGATTCAAGCTTTATACCTCCAGAAGAAAGATCAAGGTGAACAAGGTATGGATCTACAATATCCAATGCAACCAACACTTCTCCAATGAGCTCCTTTTTCTCCAAGATGCACCAAGAACACTCCAAAGCACTTAAAAACACCTTCTTTTGCTCACAAGGCTCAAACTAGGGCAATGGCGGCCGTTGGAGAGGTGGAGGCTGAGAATGGAAAGAGTTTTGGGAAGTTAAGGAGCTTAAATAGGGCTCAAAACCCCGAAATTAGGGTTTGGGTTCTGATCGAGTACACCCAGCATACTCCTGGTACACCCAGTGTACCAGGTTGAATATATGTGATCATCCTTTCCTAGTATGCCCAACGTACACCCTGTACGCCCAACATACTAGGTTAAATCCAAAACCCTCCTAACTTTTAACAATCATAGCTTCTTCGTTCGAACTCCGTTTTCGACGATCTTTATATCCATGGAAAGGTACTGAAGAGCCCCAATATTATCTAAATATATTGGACCAAAAAATTCTCGAACAAAAATCCATATTTCATGCAAGAACTCGGCCTATGACTTTTTCCTTTCTACCATTCGGCCCAAAACACAATTCAAGGGTTAAATCTCTTAACCATCATTACCTCCTTCCACAAGCACTAAACTTCGCCTCCTTAAAGCCCCAAGCCTTTACACAATCGACTTTCAGCCCACGACCCTAAAATTAGAAACGACAAAGAACAGGATGTTACCATAATTTTCTTGGTGATTTGGATGAAAAATAATGCATCACCAATTGTAATTATTGTCCTTGTGGTAATATTATATTTGCTCTTCTGGAGCCTTCAATCATTTTGCACTACCCGTTACTATATTAACAATTGTTTCTCCAATTGATAAGTAAGCAAAATACTTTTTATTATTAAAAATGCTATGCGTTGTTGCGTTGTCTGTAAGACATATATCTTCCTCGTTTCTCTTGCGAATATTCATATTTCTCTTCAGTAAATAAATAGAAAAAAAAAAACTTTCGACCTAGAGAAATTAAGTCATATTTTATTACTTTGACAAGATTGTGACGACATCATTTCTCATGACACCACTTGTCCCTTCTAGGTAGACAAGAAAATCGACAACATCTAAATATGTGCCATTTCTGGTTGATTTTCGTGAAAATCAATTTGAATAAAATTTGTTTCGATATTTTTTCTTTAGATTTTAGTGAAGCTTGATAAAGATCAACAAAATACTTTGGAGAGCGGCATGTACGAGACCAATGACCGTTCATTCCACATCGATGACAAAATACTTTGGAGAGCGGCATGTACGAGACCAATTTTATCATTAAGATGTGTGTTTTTGTTATTTTCCAACTTCTGGTGGTTACTTGCAATCTTGTTATTGTTACGATAATTATGACGACCTTCACGACCTCGGTTAGACATATGACTATTATGATTATATGATGTTGCATTCACTTCAAGGAATGAACTAGAACCGGTCGAGCGTGATTGATATTTTTCATTAGTAGCTCATTGTTTTGTTCAGCCACAAGAAGACATGAGATTAGTTCAAATTATTTTTTTTAAACCTTTCTCTCGATTTTTTTGTTGCAGGAGCATGTTAATGGCATAAAAAGTAAGAATTTTTTTCTCTGTATTTATCAATTATAGTTTCACCACGTAATTTTAGGTAAGAAATTTTATAAAATAATTTGTAAGCATTATACATGTGAACTTATAAAAATACATACCTGAAAATAACAAGAGCGATAAGGAGTTAGAACTCTATGGTAAAGTCGTGTTGATAACGTGTTATAAAATTTGAAGCTAAGTTAAAGAACAAAATAGGAAATGAGACTGTAAATAACTTTATTTCATTACTTGTGGTAAAAACAACCAATATTTAGATTAGATATTACTCACTATTTATACTGTTTAAAATGGTATATAACAATACTCATAGAACTCATAATAATATTTGTTATAATGCTAATAATATATGTTATAATGCTTAGTGATAACGGAGAGTTGTTATTGAAAAAATGGAGAATACAATTATTATAATTGTGATTGTAGATAGGATATATTTCCATTATGGCCCTAATGGTTAGGGAGCTGCTACATACACTAATTGACATATTTACCTTCATGTGGGGCACACATGAAAAAGGTTTACAAATTGTTTTAATATCCTACTAGGTGTGAGACCCGTATAGTACATGGGTTGATTAAAATAAAATTTTAATTGTTAAAAAAACTAAAAATTGTATTAAATCAAAATCGATTATAATGAATTACATTGAATTTATCAATTATAGAGAGTCACTTTCAATTTGTTTCAGATTGTAATGTATTCTTTTTCTATCAAAACTATTTAAGAGGTTGCACTTAAACTTCAAATGACTTTTGATCCATATAAATTGACTTCTATGATTTAAGTTAAAGTTTGATTTTGAAGCAACCAATCAATATGTGTCAAGAAATTGGTGTAAGTTTGGTAATAATATGGTAAATTGTAATACCATATAAGAAACATGGTATTATTTCGGAAAGTATATACGATTAGCTTAGAATTTTGGGTGACACAATCAAAATTGGATGCGTATTTATGATATCACTAGTTTATAACCCGTGGGAGTCACGGGTTATAAAATTAATTAAACTTTCATAATAAAAATTTATAATTATTAATAAATTATTTTAAATAAATTATTAATTAAGAGATTTATCAAAATTTTAAAGTTATTATAACTTCAAATTTAACATATAATTAGAAAATGTAAATTTGAATTTTGAAATAAATTGCCTAATATATTTACATGACACATGGCATAATATTAATGAGGAGTTGTATTAGAGTGACACTTGTCAAAAATAGATTAAAACTATTCATTTATTAGAATAGAGATAGGAAAGAAACGTATATATAACATTTATAATTTTTATTTTCAAAATTAATAGAATAAATACATTAATTAATTAATTAATCTCATTTAATACAAAGCAACCACAAAATGACATGTGAAATTATTTTATTAAAAAAAATCACAAAATTAAATGTGTCAAAACTCTTGAGAATCAGACAATAAAACTAAGCCAAAATAATTATATTTTAAAATTTTAAAAATCATCGGTACCCAAACAAAAATAAACCACCCAGAGCATTTGCACTTTTCTCTTTAAAATGTGTGTTAAAATAGATCTAAATATTTTCTTTAAATTATAACCTAAATAAACATAACTTAAGAATGGGTGATGGATATAACTGAATTTGGCCCACAAAAATCTAAGAGAACGTGCATGACATGATTAAGGTATTTCTTTAAACATGGTTAAGGTATTTGTTTAAGCAAAATAATGAATTTATCAATTTCTCAACTTCATACGTGTCACCACCACAACCCGCAAACCGCCAAATTAGTTGCCGGTGCGCCACCATTACAAACTACAAAATGCATTCCGGCATCTTCACTAACATGCAAGTGTCGATGCCCGCTCCACCACTTCCAATCATACCGCCGCCGGCTATTCCTAATTCATCATTAATTAATCATTAGATTTAATTATTCCTTCCATTAACAGAAAAACAGTTATAACATGTCATTCAAATCACTTAAAAATTCAATCGTTAAGTTAATGATCTTTAACTTTTAGTATTTTAATATTAAACATAAAATTTGTATCTAGAGAGCGTGCAGACACGACATATGACTTATGAGAATGAGTTTGACGATACAAAAGGGTGGGGGGTCGGTGGTTGTTGTTTCATTTTCTATGTTGTGCCTCCTCACTTTACATCAAAGTCACTACCTTCATTTAGTATCCCTCACAATTAAACCCAAACACCTTCACAATCACAACCTTCTCTTTTTCTCTCTCTCTCTCTCTAACAAAAAATGAGGACTTTGTGTCCAAATTTGGATAACGAAGATGGCCTTGAAACAGTGCTCGAAGTTCCCATACCGGAGGAGACCTTCGACGCCAACAGCAACGCCGTATGGAGGACCTTGAAACCAGTCATTACATCTCATGCAACGGACAGTGGCCGGAATGCAGAGGTTCAGCTCTTGCTAGGTGTCGTCGGAGCACCCCTCATACCTCTTCCCATCTCCTCCGGTCAACCAGCCATCATCAAGTCAAACATCAATGACCACCCCATCGTAAGTCATTTTCCTGTCGATTATTTTGAGATTTTGTCCGTGGTGGTGTACATGTGTAAAGTTTATGAATTTGATTGTGTTTATAGGAGGCTTCAATGGCGAAATATATTGTTCAGCAATATATAGCGGCGACGGGAGGAGAAAGGGCTCTGGATTCTGTGGACAGCATGTTTGCGGTTGGGAAGGTGAAGATGGTGGCGTCGGAGTTCATTGCCGGAGACGGAATAAGCATGAACTGTAACGGTTTGAATCTTGGTGGTAGTGTGATGAAGATCAAGAGTGTGAGAAATGGTTGTGGTGAAATGGGTGGTTTTGTATTGTGGCAAAAGAGGCCGGACCTTTGGTCATTAGAACTGGTGGTTTCCGGTGCTAAAATCAGCGCCGGCAGCGACGGAAAGTTGGCTTGGAGACAGACTCCATGGCACCATTCCCATGCGTCACGTGGACCCCCTAGACCCCTCCGTCGTTCCTTGCAGGTATTTTATCGTTTTTATTTTCGACACAACACATGTTAAAACGTTTATTTCATCAATTTTCCCTTTTGCTTTATCAATTACATTTATATACTTTAATAAAGATAAAATCTAGAACAAATTCCACTAAAGATATCAGTTTGATTACATAAACATTAGACCATAAGGTCTATTTGGTATTCAATGATTTAAACTTAATTATAATAGAAACAATAAATATAAATTTTAATGACCATTTGAACTCAATTAAAATTAAATTTTTTAAACTTTAAATGAATGTTTCCTTAGATAATTAAGCTTTATAAAGTTCAATAGTATTATAAAGCTTTAAGTAATAATATCACTAATTTAGGTCTTATTAATATAGTTTACGAATTTATGTAAATTAAAAGCTAAGATAAAAATAATTTGATTTAAGTATTAATTAAGGAAGAGTTGTTTAAATGGGTGGTATCTGCCATCTACCATCGGTTGTGGGTGATGCACCAAATTAAATTGAATATCACCAAATTAGGGTTGGTATAATTTGACCTTTGGGTACATGTTTACATCACCCTACAACCCGATGTGCCATCCATTTTCCCTACTTTTTTCAGTTTTCACCTTTCATTAAATTAATAATTATCATAAAACAATACTATAAAAATATTAAATTAATCATTTTTGGAATGTTGATAGGGTCTTGATCCAAGAGCAACCGCCAACTTGTTCACAAACTCCATTTGCACCGGAGAAAAGACCATCAATGGAGAAGATTGCTTTGTCTTAAAGCTTGAAGCAGAACCTTCGTCTTTACAAATAAGAAGCAGCAAAAACGTCGAGATCATCCACCACACCATCTGGGGGTATTTTAGTCAAAAGACAGGACTTCTACACCATCTTAAAGACTCGCATCTCATTAGAATCAAAGCTCATGGAAGTGACAACGTCTTCTGGGAAACAACCATGGAATCATCGATTCAAGATTACCAAACTGTTGACGGAATCAATATTGCTCATGGCGGCAGGACACTAGTCTCCTTGTTCCGATATGGTGAGAACTCACAAAGCCATTCGCGAACCAAAATGGAAGAGGTTTGGACGATTGAAGAGTTGGATTTTAACATAAAGGGTCTTTCGATGGACTGCTTCTTGCCACCTAGCGACTTAAAGAAAGCTGATGATCAAGAAACAGATGATAATGTAGATAGTGGTGACACGAGGAATGCCCGATTAATCACCAAGAGTAGAGGCGTTTTTTCAAAAGTTGGTGTTTCTAAGGTTGTGGATTTTGATCCTCGAACACTTGGAGAACATCGGAGGACCTGAAGGCTTGTCACATTGTTTAATTAACTTCTACTTATCTATTTTGTACATATTTGTGTTATATATACATATACGAACTCGGAAGTTTGTTTGAGCTTGTGAGCTACTCATTTGCTGCCAACCCATATACGGTATATTTTTGTATTCTAAGGAGTTGTAATGAGATATAAAAGTGATTTTTTTGTCCATTATCTCTAAATCTTGATTTAATATTAACTTCACAGTGAACATGCATACAATGTTTAATGAGATTGTGATTATAGTGACATACCTAGTCAATTAATTTTGTAGTCTTAGTTATAGGCCCATGTCTATTGTTATTTATATATATTCGTTTTAATGCTAATGAAATCATTCATCGAAATCAATGACCAATGGGCTTCTAGCCCAGCGGTATCCGGTGTTGCCCTCCTACTTGAGGTTGCGGGTTCAAGTCTCGTCGTGAACATAGGTGGAATTAAATAGTAGTTTAAGAGTAGATTAGATTTGTTGTTCAAAAAAAAATATGGCATCAAAGATCTAATCAAATCTCTGATCCGCTACTCAAGCAGTACCATCGACCGCCCCTCTCTCTGTCAATATCTCTCTCTCTCTTTCTTTTCTATTTTCTTTGCTTCTTTCCCAAGGTATCTCTCATGGCTGATAACCCTCCACCAATTAAAATCCCTACATGATTAACAACATCAAAGACAATGTTCTGCTCATTCTTGATATCAATGAGTTTAATTATGATGCTTGGCGTGAACTCTTTGAAATTCATTGTATCAGATACATATCTTGATGGATCCTTTTCCCCATTGGACAAACGGACTCTGAATGGTAAAAACTAGATTCCTTGGTCAAGATGTGGATCTACTGAACCATCTCAAAAAGGGATCGACCATTCACTCTACAATGACAAGTCTCGAGGAACTCTTTCGCGACTACAAGGATGATTGTGCAATTGAACTCGATAACGACCTTCGCACCATGCTTTCCAATTGTTTGGCAAATATTAATGCTCTGATAACCTACATGAATTTAGTGGCGTACTGATCAATAGGTAGTCACATAGCATAAAAATTATTGCCACAATTACCCACCACCGTATCCTTCTTCCCACGTTTCTTCAAGCTCGATATGTGCTCCTTCTTGAGGAGCAACGTCTTTCTCGATCTCGTCCATCCCACTAGGACTACTTATCCTCTCTCGCCATCCTTCAAACTTTTGTTGCTTCAAACCCCACTCAAAACACATTCGGAAACAAACGTCGTAATAATGCACATTTTTCAACAACTGACGGGGAGGACAAACCAATCAGCATAGCCAACTGGCCTCTTTATCGTCGTCTCAGTCACCAGTGATGTCCTTGGTAGCCCTACCCGTTGTCGTGGCAGCCCTTCAAACCTACACCAAGGTGCCCAACATCCCCATAAGCTTTAAGCTGTACCAGACGCAACTCATCACACACAAAGTTTTTCTATTACAACAACTACAATCTTTTTCAACCACAATACTTTTGCAAGACATGTAGAAGGTATTGGACTACTAATGGGTTTCTAAGGAATGTTCCAATTTGTGACAACCAACACATGTACTCTTTAACTAATATATATATATATATATATATATATATATATATATATATATATATATATATTCAAAATTATCAATTCACATTGAAATTGCAAGACGAAATCTCTCTAAACAAACATATGGTTGAAAATTTATGCATTGATGAAAAACGTTACCTCTCGTTTGAATCATATTATCATATCATAGTCGATGCTGAAAAATCTTGATGGATCCTCGACGCCTACTACCCCGACGAACTCTAAATGGTTCAAACGATATTCCTTGGTCAAGATGTGGATCTATGGAACCATCACACAACCACTTCCTACTATGATACTCAAAAAGGGTTCACTCTTTAAGGATGTTGTGCAATTGAACTCAACAATAAACTTTGAAACATTTATGATATTTCGGCAAATATTGATGCTTTGGTACCCAAGAACACTTTAGTGATATACTGATCAATGGGTTGTCACATAACTTTAAAAAACATTGTTGTTATCTACCAATGCATCATTCTTCCCACGTTTCTTCAAGCTTGGTATATGCTCCTTCTCGGGGAGCAAAGTCTTTCTCGATCTCATCCTCCACAACTAGCCCAATCAAACCACTCATCTTCCCCTACCATTCTTCAAAATTATGTTACCTTAAACCTCACTCAAACCACATTAAAAAACAAACATCATAATAATATATGTTTTTCAACAACCTACACGGAGGACATATCGATCAGTACAGCCAAATGGCATATGTATCATCGTCTCAAACACTAGCGTTGTCCTTGGTAGCCCTACCCGATGCCATGAAATCCCTTCGGCAGGAGTTCACCGCCTATATAGGTTGTTTATCGACTGTCAGTCGCCAATCTGCAACAACAACTTCACCATAACAACAAAATAGTGTGCTCGAACCTACACTAAGTCGCCTAATAGTAGGTAATCCAATCATGTTCAACACTTCGGCATATATTGTTCCCATTACTCCACCTTGGCAATAGTTTCCTCCTATAACTAATAACTACTAGACAAGCAACATACCTAATGCTTTCTCCACAATGGTGCTTTAAGTCCCGACCAATGTTGGATGGTATATGGATACCCGTGCCTACGGGTGAGCATAGGCCAGTTTGGACCCAAAATCGAACCCAGCCCAATGTATTGGTTTTAAAATATTTAAAACTGAACCTTAAACCCAAACTGATGGGTTCGGTTTCTCGGGTTTTCGGTTTTCCAGGCTCGGTTTCGAACTTAAAACCAAACCCGTTAGAAACTTAGCTTAGTGAGAATTGATTAGTTGGTGTTGCCTTATATAACAGATGAATATGACATATGTTTCATTTTTTGTCCAATGTTGGACAAGTTTGAGAATTAAAAGAAATAACTTCGCATGGATATGGGATAAGCTATTTCGAAACAAAATAAAACACACAATGTTACAGCCAAGATTCGAACCTAGAGCATTTGTTTTGATTGTACAACATTGTAACCACTTGGACAACTTAGTACTTGTTTCTAACTTCCATTACATTAGAGTAATATATATATATATATATATATATATATATATTCATAAATCGGCTTGTTCGGTTTTTTCAATTTCTAAAATTTCTGAAACCAAACCCGACCTAAAATTTTCAGTTTTAGAAAAACTCAAACCCAAACCATCAGTTTATTTTGTGGTTTCATTTTTTTGGTTTTGATTTTATCGACTTTTGTCAGTTTTTCGGATTTCGAGTTCGGTTTTTCTTACCTCTACCTGTGCCACATCTCATATTTCCCCAGACATAGGTACACTATCTTCTATTAGCTCTAAAAGACCATTTTTAATTCAAACATTATTGGGTATGGCTCATCCATGTCCCTCAGCAACATCGGAAAAACCCAAAAATCTACATTCCACCAACCCTTACATCTAAACAAGGTCCTTATTACACCCGTTGTCACTAAAAATGTCATATATGTCCACCAATTTACCAAAGATAATAACTTACTATGAATTTGACAAATTAGATTTTTGTGATAGATTTTTGTATCTATCAGTTCCTCCTTCGATGTGACAACCTTCAATGTGACAAATCAAGTGACTTATATCCAGCCACTCAGTATAGTGTTGTAACATCATGTTCTGGATCGTCCGTGATTTAGGGATTTGTGGGTTGCAACCCGGGCATGAAGAAGCCCCGGGGGATGGGACGAGTTGCTGGGAGCGTAGGGCTTCTCGTCACCTTTCCGTGGATATAAGGTTCGTTGTAAATGGACTTGTAACGAAGGAGCCATGATAGTTTGAAGATTTGGCAAGTTTAGCCCTTATTGTGAAATGTGTGGCAATTGAGTACGCGGGGCGTAATTATGCGTACGCTCGGCGTACTAATGTGCGTGGAAGAAACGTGAAGGCCACCTAGTACGCTGGGCATACCATTGGGTACGTTGGGTACTAGGTCCTGGAAGAAAACCCTAATGTTTTGAGGTATCCCTATTTAAGGAACAATATGCCTTCATATTCAGCCACCATTTCCAGCACCTTACCTCTCTCAAAACCCTAAATCTCGTTTCTTAGCTTGTATGAGCATTGGAGGCTTATGAAGTGATCTTATGGAATTCTTTTGAGAAGAAGGAACTTTGAAGGAAGAAGAGTTGGCATTCAAGCTTTTGGATCTGATTTTCATTGTGGATAGAGCAACATTCATAGGTATCAAGCTCAAAGCTTTGCTCTTATTTTGCATAGTTCATTTAAAGGTCCATTTTAGGGTTTATGTCCCCAAAGCTTGAAGCTTTATGACTTGGTCCACCCCAGAGCCTTATACATGTCCTCTTTGATGTATTCAGACACTAGAGTTCATAAAAATGGAGTCTTGGTTGTCAAGACCTCCCCGTTTAAGAGATATGTGGATTTTTATGGTGAATGAGTGAGATTATATGAGATCTAGACTTATACAGCCTTGATGGGGCTTAAAGTCACCAACTTTATGCTATAAGAGACTTTATTTGACCGATATTTGAGATGGTAGCCTTTATCTTAATGAGATAAGACAAATAGAGTGGAATAAGCAAGACTGGGACGTACACTGAGCGTACTCCCAGTTACGCGCAGCATAGAACTGAGCCACCCATGTTGCATGCATGGCTAGACGTACGCCCAGCATAGTGAGACGTACGCCCAGCGTACGCGCCGTGTGTTGACCCCTCCGTTGACTTTTAGGGTTTCGAGCAATTGTGGACTTTTGAGGGGCAAAATGGTCTTTTTACCCTCCTGGGATTTAGTAGAGAAGTTGACCTAACATTTATGGGATATTCATGTCATGTATTAATTAGTGGTAATTGTGACATATGTTAGTCGGGGATTAGATTAGCGGGGCGGGTGCAGGAGTCGCTTACTCCACTTGCGAGGTGAGTCTTCTCACTATACATACCTAGCGTGGTAACCAAAGTAGTGCGACCAGAGGGTCTTATGTGTTTATTTGAGTACTATGTTGTGTTGCATTATATCTATGTGATTTATGCTATGTGATATTCTGAGTATACAGAGTTTGGACCGGAGGGTCCCAGAGTTAGGACTAGAGAGTCCACTAGAGTTGTGGGACTGGAGGGTCCCACTGAGACACATCGGCCAAGAGGGCCTTACAGAGTGATAGC